AGCAAATAGCCAAATCAAAAAGTTTTTTACCAAACACCTATAATAGCTAAGCTAGTTGACAAAGTCAAACAACCAAAGTCACTCCAAAAAAACCAAAAAAATGACTGATAGATCATTAACCTAACACCGCCATAAGAAAAATAGTGAGTTACATACGTAGTAACATTCATGACTTTCTTAAACCGGAGCGTGTGTACCCGTAACAAAGTCAAACAACCAAAGTAACTCTAAAAACTAAAAAATGGATGATATAGGTCATTAACCAAACACCCTTCATAAGACTAAAACATATGCTCCGTTTGGATAGTAACAATTTACACTAAAATGTGACAATGTCAAAAATATTACAATGTCAAACATGTGTTGGTACATAATGTCATTCACAATTAATATATTCTTTTGGATTATACTCCGTCGTACTTTATCATTTTAAAGAATACATTAATTGTGAATTGCTTAATGTGCAATGCATGTTTGACATTGTCACATTTTATCGACATTTTCCTTTGGCAATGTATACAATATTTTGACATTGCTTATTTTGGCAAAAATAATGTGGTAAAACCCAGCTAATTGTCAAAATATCACGATTAACTCATATGTCATATGTCATATAGCATTCATACTCATATTTGATGTGTCTTTTTTATAAATAAAAATCTCATATTTGATGTACCTTACTAATTATTCATTAGTACCTTATAAAAATATTATAATGATTAATGAGTAAGCTCACAAAGTACATTGCAAACTAGGGCTGAGCACGGATCTGGGAATTCCCGTTCCATACCGAAGAACCGTCCTGAACCGCTCTAGAACCGATAAAACCGGAAAAATGTAAAATTGTACCGTACCGTACCGAGCTTTTTTAATAATATGGCACGGTACCGGTTCTTAGTGAGAACCGTTCCGGAACCGTATTGACCTGAACCGTCCCGTACCGTCCCGAATTGTCCTGAAAACTAGTGTTAGATTATAATAATATATTATCGAGTATAAATGTTAGTGACCATATGTCCCGAAAATTAGTGTTATAATATAATAATACTACGTATATTATATATAACATATTACCGAGTATAAATGTCAGGGATCGTATGTCCATATATTATAAATATGCAATTTTGCATATTCTTTTGGCGTAATCCAATTATTAAGACTTGACAACACTACAAGTTAGCTTTAAAACAAAAACAATACTAAATGATATAAACAATGCTATGTAAATAGGGTTAATTATATTTCATGGGGGTTAATTATTTATGAACCAAATAACACCAAAGAACCGTACCGAACCGTACCCACCGTGCTGAAAATTGGTACGGAACGGGACAGGTTCCATATATATATGTGGGACGATACGGTTCTTGATTTTTAAAAGAACCGTACTTTGGGACGGGACATGTTTTTTGAAATAACCGTCCCGTACCGTTCCATGCTCACCCCTATTGCAAACGTATGTTGTATGCCATTCTAACTCTATGTCTCAGATGATATAACCCATTCGCATCAGGAATTCTACATAAAATTTTCTTTAGCAATCAAGTAGTCTTAGGCTATGTTTGGCAGGCATAAGTCTATGACTTCTAGCTTTGTACTGTTCAAAAAGTCTCTAAAAGCTTCTAGTTATATGTTTGGTATGACAATTTATAAGAGCTTTTTAAAAATTAAAAGATCTTTCTTAAGATGCTACAGGCAGTAGCATCTGAAAAAGGCCTGTGACTTTTAGTATTAATTAGGCCTAACAGCTTGTATATCAAACCGAACTAAATCAAACAGTCAGCTTCTTAGCAAACAGCTACCACCTTTTCTTTTTAAGATCTTTTCAGTCACTAAAAGATAACAGTTATTAAAAAGCCCACAAAAGTATCTTTTCAGCTAATTGTGCCAAACATACCCTAAAACACTTGGAGCCCGTTTGGTAGCACGAAAATCGGCTGTTTTGGCTGTTTCTGCTGAAATTTATGAAGTTCTGGCTGAAGAGTCTGTTTTGGCTGATTCTGCTGATTCTAGAAAAAAATATTTTAAAAATATATTTTATTAATACAATAAAGAAAAAATTACATGTAAAAATAGCTAAAATGGTCATCTACAGTAACTTCAGCCAATACAGCCAGAAAAGTAACTCCAACCTTACTTTTTCTGCTTATTACACAATTCAGCACGCGAAAGTAAAAATTACGTGTTTGGTGAAAAAGCTGGCTGATAAGCCTGATAAGCCGAAAAAAAGGGTCTCCAAACGGGCTCTTGATACTTACGAGTTCCCATATAAATTCATTTAGGAAATCAAGGAACTTAAATACTCCGTAAGAATTTAAAAAGCCTTCTTTTTTATTTCCCACGATTCTCGTAGAATAAAGAGGAAGTGTCGACTGTCGACTGTCGAGTAGGCCATGGAGGCTAGGAAAACCAGCCCTTATGAAAAAAGGACCTTTTAAATAAATCTATGAATTAAAAATGGCTTTTTAAACCGATCTATGAATTGCTTTTTAATTCAGCCTTTATAATGTTCTACTTCAAGTATAGATTTTTCTTGTGTTAACTTAAAAGTTTAAAGAAACTTTACAATAGGAGATGAGATGAATACATCTGTGATTTTTGTAAATTTGTTAATCTGAATCTTTCTTCTTGCTCATCATACGAAAGTAGATCAGAAGAAAATATTATGATTGGTTGTATAGGTAAATTATGCTTAAGATTTGCTGTGTAATGAATTAGTTGTCATCTATTAAATTGTTGTTTATCCTTGGTTTAAGATTTAACTATAGGTAAGTATACGTAAATGAATTGTGTTTCTTGAAGTTAAGCTCACACTATTGTCGCTCTTCAAAATTTCCTGAGCCAATACACTTCATCTTTGTGTTTTTTAGGAATTATGTTTCTTGAAGTTAACCTAGCACTATTATGGCCTTGCGGAGTTGTGGGTCTCCAAATTTCCCAATAGAGTAATTGTTTACTTTTAATCATTAGATATATGCTCATTTCATCATCATTTCTTTGATTACAACTTAAGAGCTCCCGTATAAATCATTAGATGTTAGGAGCCAAAAAAGGGCAACTGTTATAAAATGGAAGGAAATAAACAGAAATTAGGGAGAGATTATATGGAGTATAAAGGGAGAGATTATATTAGATGTGTGATAATGGTGTGTTAGTTACGGTGAGAAGATTCATACTTATAGCCTTATAGGAGAAAGTGTGAGCTCAATGAAATTATGATATCATTGTGAGTCACACCTTTATATAACAATGATAATAATTCCTAATCATGAATAGTTGGAAGATGACTAATTCAATTATATTTCAATAGCAACATATTTATTTATTTTGTTGTATTTATCCCGCTATTGTGATAGTTGGAAGCCTTATGTTCTGCTTTCCTAACCGTTATGTTTTTAGTTTAATTCTTTTTATGTTAAATGTAGTATCTGTTTACAAGATATCTAAAACATGATGGGAGGTCAGGTGGATTACTACTACAACTACCTCATCATCATACTATGGGATAATCACATTCCGCCCCCACCCCATCCCAATACCCACCACACTTCTCCACGGGGTAGGTTCCCACCCTAATTGCCATCCTTAGAACAAACATCAACCAAATCTGACTAATTCAAACCAAACATAAATAAAACAAACTAGACTAAACCATATCATGAAATTAGAGACTACTCGTTCCATTTTCTTTCATATTGGAGAGTAGTCCCGGACTCGGGCCGGGTCGGGTCCGGGCCAGACCTAGGCCTGGGCAGGCCGCCGATTCTGAATAGGTGGGCCCGGGGCCGGCCCAGGTAGCCACCGGGTCCGGTCCGGGCCTTGGGTCAATTATTATTATTTTTCCTTTTCCTAATTAACCGCCCCCCCCACCCCCAACCCCCCAAACCACCCCAAATGACCCAAAATACCCAGCCCAACCCGAAAAGTTAAAAAAAAAAATTGAAAATAAAAATAAAAGCCCAGAACCGGGCCCGAACCGGCCAGGCCGGTTCGGCTTTTGGGTAACCCGAGCCCGCACCGGGCCTACCCGGACCGGTCACTGGCCGGGCCACCGGCGGTCCGGGCCAAGCCGGTTCAGCACAGTACCGGTCCCAGGTCGGGCCACCCGGCCCGAGTCCAGCACAGGCATGGCCTCGGTTCGGGCCGCCCGGCCCGGGACCGGCCCGACCCGCTACTGTGCGGGCCCGGCCCGGCCCGGTTATCCGGGTCCGGTTCGGGTCGGAGGCCCGGGGGTGGGGCGGTTCCGGGCTCGGTTCATGGTTTTGACGGCCCGGCCCGGCCGGTTCGGGCCCGGGTCCAGGCCAAATCTATTTTTTTTTTTAATTTTTTTCATTTGTTTTAGGCTGTTGGGCTTGGGCTATCTGTTTAGGCCGGTTTGGGGGGGTTTGGGGGGGTGGGGGGTGAGGGGGTGGGGGAAGAAAGGAAAAAAAAATTAAACCGGGTGGCCCGACCGGCCCGGCCCGGTCCGGCCCGGAACCGGACCCGGAACCGGTGGCCACCGGTTCGGGCTCGGGCCCAACAAAACAGACCCGAGGCCCGGCCGGGCCTAGGCCCGAACCGGGCCCGAATCGGCCCGGGTCCATCCATAGTCCAGCACTATTGGAGAGTTTCACTAACATTTCATCGTCAAAAATGATGACTACTCTCATTTTGGTACATTTGTCTCCAACCTAATATTAGGATTTACTGATTCCTCTAAATAAAGAACCCGTTGGAACACTGTTATTTGGCTTCTTAGGCTTTTCAACAATCTTTTTCACCAAACACGTTACTTTTGATTTCGCGCACTAAAATGTGTAATAATAAGAAAAAAATAAGATTAAAATTACTTTTCTAGCTAATTCGACTAAAGTTATTATAGAGGACCATTTTAGCTTTTTTTACATATATATTTTTGATTTTATTAACAAAATATATTTTAAATTTAACTTTTTCATAAATCAACAGAATCAGCAAATACAACCACTTAAACTAGAACTTTATAAATTTCAACACAATTAGCCGATTTCAATATTAACAAACAGGCTCAAAATATGAATAAGTGGTAAGCAACGGAAATAAGGTTGAACGTAACAACTCTTTTAACAAATATCCAAAACTAGTAAAATAATGATTACGTTTAGAACGTAAATTGCCCAGCATATATATTCCAACATCAAAGGAAGATAATAGACAAAGCAAAAGGAAAGAACACGACCATTGAAATTTGCAAACGCATCAAAGTAATCAAAACCGTGAAACAAACACCAACCTACTAAAAACCGAATTTCATAAAGTGATGTCAGGATATATAAATATATTTGCTCCAATGGAAAAAATCATAATGTGTTACAGGATAGAGTCGGATAGACTGATCAAGAGGCTTGTGAGACAAAACATAAACTTTAAGCTGCTGCGTCAATAAATGCTCTCCCAGGTGGGCGTTTTGCAAGAGGTCCATGACACCCCAAAAGCTAGAAAAACACAGAAAAGAAATTCAAAGCCGTTGCATATATCAGATATCTCATTAACAAGAAAGTTGAATGAAACAGTTACTTTAAGTACAATGAAGGAATAGGCTTAAACCTTAGCATTGACACCATCAGACACAATGCGGCCTTCCTTCTTGTAGTTTAGATAATCAGTACGATTGAACTTTGTAAAACCCCTTAAAAGTAAGATAGGAAAAAGAATAAGTGAATAGAATCTTCAATATCTAATTATCAAAATTGATTCTAGATTCAGAAAACTTCACTCCAATACTAATAGAGATCTATACAGGTAAGTTTAGATGTAGTATGTAGTTCAAAGAATTGTGTCTTACAAGACATTATGACACTTCACACTTCTTCTAAGAATGTTTTCACCCTGACACCACACATTCACCCCCAAAGAAAAGACATTTGGACTAGTTACGTCTTTTACAATTCAGTAAGATACCACGTCAAAAAGCATGAGGGCTTACATGCGTTCTTAGCGATTTTGTGGTCTAACATAATTCACCATATATAAATTGTCCTAGGCTCATTTTTTGGAAACGGTTGAAATAGGTTTGTTTGATCAGAGGAGACTTTCGGTTGGGACAAAAACACAAGCTTTGACAGCCAGCCAGCCAGCCAGCCAGGCTATTATAGTGTTATCATGGATTTGAAGCGATCAATCAATCAATCAATCAACATTATATTAAACAGGTAAAATGGAAGAAGAATTACCATTTCCTGCTAACAATGATCTTTTGGCGACCAGGGAATTTAAACTTGGCACGACGCAATGCCTCCTGTGCATTTTGACTGTTAGAATCCTTGCAGCGAACGGACAAAAGAACCTGTCCAATGGCAACACGAGCACAGACACCCTGTGGCTTGCCAAATGCCCCCCTCATTCCTGTTTGGAGCCTATCAGCCCCAGCACACGACAACATCTTGTTAATACGAAGGACATGGAAAGGGTGAACCCTAACCCTAAGATGGAAGGCATCCTTTCCTGCAAACTTGGTCATATACTTGTTGCAAGCAATTCGGGCAGCTTCAAGGGCCTCACTCGAGACATTCTCCTTCTCCCAGCTGACCAAATGCACGCAGAAGGGGAACTCATCAACTCCCTTTTTCTTCATCCCCACATCATAGATCCTAATCTTTGGGTCAGGCACACCACGGCAGTACCTTGACTTTGGGTATGGCTTGTTCTTAATCTGGCGGTAACACCTTGCTGGTCCTGATAAAAGTTTGCACAAAAAATATCATCATAATGGTTTTGCCATAAACAGAGCTATCAATTATATATCATGAACATTTCCTAAACTTTCACATTAGTTTCATTAGTATATGCAAATAAACTACTGCGTGTGAGCAATACAGCTGAATGCGGTGAAAAGCCAAAGCCATCTTTTTTACCGGTCCGGATTGACAAACAAGAGTATTAAGCAATGACAAGTCGAAACCTCAGCATGAAGAGTAAGCAAGAAACACAAATTTCCCATTATTTATTACGGAGTAGTAGACTATAAAATCAAATAAATCTACTTTCATTATTTTCAACTGCTTTCACGTATATAATCAAATTTATTGATGTATGATAAATGAAAGAAAATTGAATCTTACTTCTCCCCATTGGATTTTTCGCCAATCTTCCGTCTGCAGCAAATGGGACCTGAAACCGAATCTTCAGTCGGCAGTAACAAGCCTCCTTAGGGTTTCAGGTACAAGGCGATGAAATTAGAGTGGTTCGAGAGTGGGCTTTGTATGGGCTTAACAAAGAAACGCTCCTCCTTCGCGCACCCCTAAACTTGTTGCGCGCACCATTTTTCCCCCAATGTTGGACTAATTTATCCTTTTTCAAATCTGAAGTGACTCATAGATTACGAAACTCATTCCTATTAGGTAGCGCACCATACTTGTTGTATTGCGGCCCATGGACATGGTCACTCGCCTGGTCATGGTGGAAGTTGCGGCAATTACGGGTGCTGCGGTGGCGCCCATAGTATTGCCTTTAAATCAAAATAGATATTTAGGCCAAGTTTACTAACAGAGATATTTTCCTGTTTTCTACTTCTGTTTTTCGTTCTCCAATTTTCTATTGTTATTTTTCTGTTTTTCTATCTCCAATTTTCTGTTTCTATTTTTTAGTTTTCCATTTTCAAATCTGAAAACATGTTCATCAATTTTTTCACCCATTTCTGTGATCATCCAGAAGACTGAGGACACGTTTACTTCACGGGTCACTAAATGGTGTTTATTAAGACTCGCGTTAATAAGCGGCGCATAAAATAAGCAATGTTGTAAAATCATGTTTACTTCAAAAGGTTTAAAACACCGTTTAACATTAAAATGTCCGAAATAACCCTATACATATATAGACACACAAACATTCATGAACACAAATATATAATATAATATGTGGGGTCGATCACCTCGTACGTGTACCCATACCCCTAACCCCTAGCCTATACCTCGTATCCCCACCCTACATCCTACACCCAATTCCACATTCTTGACCCCTACCCTTACCACGATCTTACACTCTACACATACTCCCCTACAACCCCTTCATACCCACCCATACCTACTTGTAGGAGTGGGGGTAGGGAAGGTATGGGTGGGGGTGGGGTAAAGGGCATGGTCAGGGATGGGGTGGTAAGGTCTAGGGGTAGGGGGTTAGGTGGGGGTAGTCGGTGGGTTAGGGTCGTGGTTAGGGGTAAGGGTGGGGGTAGTGGGTAGGGTTGGGGTTGGGGTAAGGTAGGGGTAGGGAGTTTGGATAGGATGACGGTAGGGTGGGGCCGGGACCAGGGTGGGCCAAGGTAGGGGAGAGGTTAGGGTGGGGTGTAGGATGGCGGTGGGGTAGGGTGGCGGTAGGGTGGGGTCAGGATGGCGGTAAGGGTGGGGGTAGTGGGTAGGGTTTGGGGTTAGGATGGCGGTAGGGTGGGGTCGGGATCAGGGTGGGGCCAAGGTAGGGGAAGGGTAGGGTGGGTAGGATGGCGGTAGGGTGGGGGTAGGATGGCGATACGAGGGTGGGGGTAGGATGGCGATACGAGGGTGGGGGTAGGATGGTGATACGAGGGTGGGGGTAGGATGGCGATGGGATGGGGCCGAGGTAGGGGCATGTGGTAAGGGGTAAAGTAGGGGTAAGGGGTAATATACGAGGGTTGGGGTGGGGTTGAGGTGGTAGGGGGTGGCGGTATGGTAGGGTGGATCGGGGTGGGGCCGAGGTAGGGGCATGTGGTAGGGGTGGTGTAGGGTCATTGTAGGGAAAAGGGGTACGTGGGGTGGGGGTTAGGTCGTAGGGTAGGGTAGGGGTAAGAGGTAAGGTACGAGGATGGAGGTACCGAAATGGAATCGACATCAGAGCGGGACCGGGCCCACCACTAGGTGTAAGTATGCAAATTCATTGCAACGGTACTGTAGCATATGCGTTTTCCAAATTTGAAAAAATGCTAGTAAAAGTCACTTCTCCAAATCATTAAGGAAAAGAGACACATGTCTCATTTTTTTCGTTTTGGAAAACAATTTGGTAAACGTGTTTTTTTGTTTTCCTTTCTCCAGTTTTCCAACAATTTTCTTTGGTAAACACGTTTCTTGTTTTCAGTTTTCCAGTTTTTTCCAGTTTTCTGGAAAACTGGAAAATATCTCTGTTAGTAAACATGCCCTTGTATTTCCTTAAGTCTTTTTGAAACAATATTTCCTTAAGTTTTCTTTAACTTTATCTTAAAAAAATTATCTAAAAAAAACTATTTGTATAATATATCAAAGAATTACTATATTTTTTTCTCTTATATTTTGTTTACAATCTTCTTTTACAATGACTGAAAAAACGAACATGCATACAAAAACTAAAATTGGGCATTGTCCCCACGCGCATCGCGCGTTCACGTAACTAGTGTAAAATAAGAATTAATCTTAGTAATCCATGAAGTCAATCTGATGCACAAGAAACCTTAGATAGGATAAATGTAATGTTGTCACGTTCTCACGTTAAACATTGTTCTCACTCGATTCTAAATCTATATATGTGTGTGTGTGGGGGGGGAGGGGAGGGGGGGGGGGGGAGTACATGCTTAACATGTGAACATGAGAACACAACATTTACCCCATTCGGATGCACAAAGAGGCTCACTCATTGCAGTTTTTGCATTACGCATAATATTTATCAAAATGTCATTGCAATTATTTGATATTGATCAACTTAGTTTGATCAAAGTTAAAAAGTAAACCAGCTGATCTTCATTGTGCGTTACATTTTGTCAAGTGTGTTACCACATTAAGCATTGTTCTCAATTTCAAACCTCGTCCTATATACACACACATATGTACTACGTGTATTGATTGTTGGGGAATATTATCCCGGCCTACTACTGTTCTGAGGCCCGAGGCATCACCCCGACAAGGAGCCCAGTCGGCGAGGCCCAATTAGGCCCAACCGGCCCACTTAGGCCTATTGGCCCGTTAGAATAGCCCTAAAACCCCTTACCCTCCTTTAAACAGGAAGGAAGGCTTCCAGGGAAGGGGATCCTTTTTTTTTTTCCTTTTGGCTCTTCTTTCCCAGGAGCTCTTCTCCTTCATTACTTCTTCTTTAGAGCTAGCAACAAACTCCATTAATGGAGGTTCTACACTTGTAGTATGTAAAAAAGGTGAGGAGACCATATTAATGAGAAAGAGCGGTTTTGGACGTTAGCCTAAAAAGTCCTGTGGTTTTCTCCCTTTCCGGGTTTCCAAGTAAAAATAGCCAATTCATACACTTTTATATTTGTTATTTACTTTTATACTAAATCCATCGTCCTTAATATCCGATGTTTATGTTGGACTTCCTGTCACGCCCCGGACCTCCCCGGACACGTCAACAACCCGCCGTACAATACGAATAGTCAACCGCAGTCCAACACATTCATATTATACAAGGCGTCATGAATATCATTCACACATAAGTCATCCATAAACATACATAATAAACAATTGAATACGCAGCGGAAAACATTGTTTAAAACAAAAGGGCCACACAGGGCAAACATGAGCACGCAGGCTCTAAAGTAAAATATCCATGAGCAAGTTTAATATTATTTAAAAACAGAATGGAGGAAGCACGAACCAAGTCTTCTCTCCAAGGAATCACTCGATCAACGAGCACAGGAAGCAAGCTCTAGCCTCAACCTGAAATGGTGGTGGGACGCCCCCGAAGGGGTCAGTACTCTATACGGCTATAAAGTACTGGTGTGGCAGGCATCTAATAGATATACAACAAGTATTTCAAACACAAGACCCTCAAGTAGGGTGATAGTACATTATGATTGTAACCCTAAGTTACCCCGTTTAAAAATATACTTACTTTATATAAAAGTCAAGTAGTCGGCCCGTGGGCCCGTTTTCATTTGGAAATCACCATTCCCAACCCCGTGGCTATAAGCCACGACAACTCCTAGAGTCCAACCCTAGTACATGACATTGTATTCTAGAGCTCGGCTCTACCACATCACCATACAATTCATATACCTCGGGTCAATTTCCTTACCTTGCGTTCTAGAGCTCGGCTCTACCACATCACCACGCAAGTCCTAGAGCTCGGCTCTAGCTATACAATACATAGACTCCAAGTCTACCCTTACATGCATTCTAGAGCTCGGCTCTATCACATCACCATGCATTAAGGTCCAATTCTCAAGCAACCCTATGCCTAGAATTGACATATCATTAAACTACCATGGGTCATCCTTAAAGACTTCCCATAACTTAACCTTAGTTCCATACTAAGTTATTATATACACTTGAACTATATTCAAGCACCTTTCATACAATCCAATCCCTAGGATCAATTTAATCAATAAATCCCAATAATCATTAACTAGTATTTCAATACTATTAAGATTATTGTTATCAAACCATTATCCTTGTTATTTGTAATTCTCTACATATTTATACTTATGTAGCAGCAACTTAAACATTCATTCTCAATACACAAATATTCATTTATGTATCCACATAATTCATACATGAGAAAAATGCCCATTTTCACAAATAGTTCATTTATACTCATTTAATCTCATATTATTCATACCTTCTCAAATCATTTCAAATTTCATTCTTTGGCAACTATATCAATATTTCATCAATATATAATCATCATAATCCATGAAAAATCATGATTTAAGCATTTAGGTAATCTCATGCTTAACCTACAAGTTGTAAACAATTAGATGTCAATCCTCACCTCAATTGAGCTTTAAACTTTCCCTTCTTGGTCCAATGGTCAAAGCTTTGGTCAAGGTGGATTTGGAACTGATTCCTTGCTCAAATATGAGTGTTAAACAGCCTCCTCAAGGTGCTAGTTCAACCCTTAATCGTTGATACGAAAACAGCCCCTAGAACGGGTGTTTCCCGGTCAACTCGTTTCCTAGTTTTTCCAAGATTTGCTCTAGGTTAGTATCTAACCTTTACATCAATAAAATAACTTTATAAGGACATATTATACACTTGTATTAGTGTATGATAGTCCCACCAATCGTTCATATCATTTGGAAAATGAAAGGTAAAGTTTTGGGGTTAAAACTCACTTTTAGAAGATTAAATCCTCTCCTGCGAGGTTGTGTTTTGCTCGGACGATTTGGAAGCCTTCCACAACTCCGATTCCTGCAAACCAGACCTTCACGGATTCCTCGTCTTGAGAGCTTTCTGTGGGTATCTCACACGCCTTAATTGGATTTGTAAAACTCGAGATATCAACCAAACAGTCTCAGCACTCTCACAGCTCGAGTTCACAGACCACCACTCACTCCAGCTCGATTTTTGTAAGATAAGCTTTCTCTCCTCGAACAAAGACCACTCAATTGAGATACTAGACTTCAAAGGCTATCCAAGGACACCTTATACACCTCATTTGGACGAGTACAACTCTCAAAATGAAGGGAGACAAAACAGCACACCTGTTTGTGCGAAAACAGTGGTGGTGGCCCCAAAATTTGATTCCTATCAAGTCTTGTGCAGCTCCTCTCCATGGTGGTCGGCCAAGGTAAGTTTCCTAACCCATTTTTATTTGTCTTGCAGGTACTAATGTCATGTGGAGTGGTTCCCAATTGATCCCAATCATTTTGGGATTCAAATTATCTACCAATACTTCCAAAAATGAGGAAAATGGGTCCTATTGTTTTATCTTTGTCAAAAGATGTCTTTTTGTACTCATCCTAATTTATTTAGAACAAGTCAACTTCCTAAATCACATTATTGATCTCCAATATGTGTAGGCTCATCCCAATAATTTACTTGATGGATATTACAAAAGAATACGGGTTTGAACAATACAATATTCAATCATGTACTTCGTAAAATATTAATCGTTTCTTCCATTGTTTTGAAATCGGAAATTCAATACATAAATGTTAAATTTTTAAATCGAATTTTCAAGGACGTTCGGGTGCGGTGTCACAAGTTCACCCCCCCTTTAACAGGAATTTCATCCCCGAAATTCACAGCTCTACTCGAATAGGAAAGCATACTGCTTCCTCATCAAAGCCTCCGTTTCCCATGTCTCTTCCTCGACTCGATCGCTCTTCCACAGGACTTTAACCATTGGGACTTCTTTGCTCCTCAGCTTCTTCACCTTTCTATCGGTGACTTTGATAGGTTGAACAGCGTAGTTCAAATCCTCACGTACCTCTACAGGTGGCTTCTCCAATACGTGAGAGGGATCATGCACATACTTCTTAAGCATGGATACATGAAACACATTATGTATCTTCTCTAACTCAGGAGTCAACTGTAGGCGATATGCAACGGTCCCAATCCTCTCTATAATTCTGAATGGACCTATATATCGTGGGTTAAGTTTTCCTCGGGTTTGGAACCGAATGATCCCTTTCCAAGGAGAAACTTTCAAGAATACCTCGTCATCAACCTTAAACTCTAAGGTTCTTCGACGCTTATCTGCATAACTCTTTTGTCTATCCTGAGCCGCTTTGAGTCTCTCTCGAATCAACTTCACCTTTGATTTGGTGACCTCAACCAACTCAGTACCCTCGAGTTTGGCCATGCCAACCTCATCCCAGCATAACGGTGTACGACATCTCCTCCCATACAATGCCTCGTATGGAGGCATGCCGATGCTTGCCTGATAACTGTTGTTATAGGCAAACTCCACAAGTGCTAAGTGGTTGTCCCAACTTCCTTGGAACTCTAATGCACAAGCCCTCAGCATGTCTTCTAAGATCTGTATGACTCTTTCAGACTGCCCGTCCGTCTGTGGGTGGAAAGCAGTACTGAACTTCAACCTCGTTCCCATAGACTCCTGAAATTTCGGCCAAAAACGTGATGTGAATCGTGGGTCTCTATCGGATACAATGGTCACTGGAACCCCATGTAGCCTCACGATCTCATCCGTGTACAATTTGGCTAACCTCTCGAGTGGGTAAGTAGTGTTGATAGGTAAGAAGTGTGCACTCTTTGTGAGCCTATCTACAACAACCCAAACTGCATCATAGTTCCTGATCGTCCGTGGCAACCCTACCACAAAATCCATAGTCACGTGTTCCCACTTCCATTCAGGAATGGAAAGTGGTTGCAATAAGCCCGCTGGATGCTGATGTTCTGCCTTAACTTGTTGACAAGTAAGGCATCGACTGATATATTCGGCTATTTCTCTCTTCATACCTGACCACCAGTAACTCTCCTTCAGGTCACGGTACATCTTCGTGCCCCCCGGGTGCATGGCATAAGCCGATGAATGAGCTTCCTCTAAGATGGACTTTCGGAGCTCGTCATCTGCCGGTACACACACTCGGTCACGAAATAATAAGAGACCGTCATCTCTTTCTCTGAAGTCCTCCACCGGTCCCGCTTGCATGCGTTCCCGGATCTTCATAATTTCTTCGTCGGTTTCCTGACCCTTCTTGATCTCATCAAGTAAAGTAGGTCTCACCTCAAATCGTGCCAATAAGGCACCATCGCTGGATACCTCCAGTTGGGCTCTTAATGCCCTCAAATTAGCTAGCAATGGCCCAGACGAGCTTTTCCGGCTCAAAGCATCTGCCACCACGTTAGCCTTGCCTGGGTGATACTCTATCACCAGATGGTAGTCTTTTATCAATTCCATCCACCGTCTCTGTCTCATGTTTAGCTCTTTCTGAGTAAACACGTATTTCAAGCTCTTGTGATCAGTGTATATGTGACATGTCTCCCCGTAGAGATAATGTCTCCATATCTTCAGTGCAAACACCACTGCCCCCAGCTCCAAATCATGAGTAGGATAATTCACCTCATGCTTCTTCAACTGTCGTGAAGCATAGGCGATTACCCTCCCATTCTGCATCAGTACACACCCAAGCCCTTGGATGCTCGCATCACTATAGACATCGTACCCCACACCCTGTTTGGGTAATGCAAGTACCGGTGCCTCGGTCAATCGTTTCTTTAGTTCCATGAACCCCTTCTCACATTTGTCATCCCATACAAACTTAGCTCCTTTACGAGTGAGCTTCGTCAATGGTGATGCCAAAACAGAGAACTTCTCCACGAACTTCCTGTAGTAGCCTGCCAATCCAAGGAAACTACGAATTTCCTTGACGTTCTTTGGCCTCTCCCATTCGGTAATGGCTTCTATCTTCTTGTTATCAACAGCAATTCCCGATCCAGAAACCACGTGCCCGAGGAAGCCAATCTCCTTTAGCCAAAATTCACATTTAGAAAATTTGGCATAGAGTTGCTTCTCCCGTAGTGTCTCAAGAACAAGTATCAAGTGCTCTTCATGCTCTTCTTCACTCCTTGAGTAAATCAAGATGTCATCTATGAACACAATCACGAATCGGTCCAAGTATTTATGAAATACTCGGTTCATCAAGTCCATGAATGCCGCCGGGGCGTTTGTTAACCCAAACGACATAACAAGGAATTCAAAATGCCCGTACCTTGTGCGGAAAGCACTCTTTGGTATGTCATCCTCCTTAATCTTCAATTGGCGGTACCCCGACCTCAAGTCAATCTTTGAAAACACGGTTGCTCCTCGTAGTTGATCAAATAAGTCATCAATCCTAGGCAAAGGATACCTATTCTTGATTGTGACCTTGTTCAGTTGACGATAGTCAATGCACATTCGGAGTGTCCCATCTTTCTTTTTCACAAAAAGAACTGGTGCTCCCCACGGGGAGTGGCTGGGTCTAATGAAACCATTATCCAAAAGCTCCTGCAATTGGGTTTTCAACTCGTTAAGTTCAGCGGGTGCCATACAATATGGCGGTATGGAGATTGGTTTGGTACCAGGCTCGACCTCGATCACAAATTCAATCTCCCTATCAGGTGGAAGCCCCAGTAAGTCTTTAGGGAAGACATCCGGATACTTACAAACCACCCTCACATCATCGATGTTCGTTTCTTCTTTGGTTTTGTCAACCACGTATGCTAGATATGCGTGGCATCCCTTTCTCATCATACTTCTCGCTCTCACGGCGGATATGATGCAGCTATTTGATCTCCCTCGATCGCCCTCGAAGCGTAGGGTCTCCCCATCATTGCCTTCGAGTTCAAGAACCTTCGTGTAGCAATCTACCCTAGCATGGTTCCTTTCTAGCCAATCCATCCCTAGGATTGCATCGAATTCAATCATGCTCAGCGGTACGAAGTCACATGTCAAGGTTTGACCATTAACCTCCACCCCACAAGATGGATAGTAACAAGTTCTTTCCACGTCATCCCCTAGTGGTGTTGACACCACTAAGGTTTGCATCAATGGTGCGGATTGCACTCCCAACCTCTTGGCGAACGCTTCATTCACAAATGAACGTTGCGCCCCGGTATCGATAAGGATTCGCGCATCCTTCCCATTAATCTTTAGTGTTCCTACATTTATAAGTCATGTAAGATACCTTTCCTACCATTCTTACACATTTAGAGAGGTTTATTATGTTCACACATGTGTTTTGGATCAAGAAAAGGTCTTAATGTCGCAAAACGGTGCGAAAAAATCGGGTTTCGGCATTCTGGGTGCCAGGCACGGCGTGCCTGGGGTAGGCACGGTCGTGCCTGGCTTGGGAAAAAGCCCTGGGCGCTACTGCCTCCCAGGCACGGTGCCACGCACGGCGTGCCTGCGACCGTGCCTGGCCGAATTTCCTCGAGGAGGCCACTGCCTCCCAGGCACGGTGCCACGCACGGCGTGCCTGCATCCGTGCCTGGCCGGAACTCCTCAGCGAGGCCACTGCCTCCCAGGCACGGTGCCACGCACGGCGTGCCTGCGGGCGTGCCTGGCCGGCAGTGGCTGTTTCCAGCCTGATTTGGCCTAACTCACCCGGTTTTGGCCCCGGGGTGGCCCGCACTCAATCCCAACGACGTACATGATCTAAGTAAGCCTAAAAGTGCCCAAAATAAGTGTATTACCAGCGACGGAGTCAGAATTAGCCCGAGCATCAGCCTCGGTCATTGCGTAGACTCTAGCTTGCGTCCTTCCTTGATTCACGGACGGCGCGTTACTCGCGCTTGCTCCCCCTTGCCCCCTGGTTACTTGGGAACCCCCGGCTTGGTTTCTACTTCCCGCAGCCCCGTTACTTGGTCCTGATGTCCTTGCCCAACCCAACTGGGGGCAATGCGCCTTCAAGTGTCCGGCATCCCCACATTGGAAACATCTGGGGGGGTCGCGACACTTACCGGAGTGATTCTTCTTGCAATTGTTGCAACGAGTTATCACCGAGGTTTGTGTTCTCGAGCCTTGCCCACTCGGGCCTTGGTTCCCCCTAGACGGTGGCGGCGGTGTCTGGAAAGATCCTCCTCCATGGTTCCCCTTTTTGTTGGAACCTTGGGAGCCATGACTCTCCCACTTTCTCTTTTTCGCCTCCTCGGCGTCTCTCTTCTTCCTCTCCTCCCACTGTTTCTCCCCCTTCAACGCTTGGTCAACCACTTGGGCGAAAGTCATATTAGGCAATTGTGTTGCCCTATCACGTATCTCCAAGTCAAGAGCATCCCAAAAGTGGTTTACCATTCGGTTCTCGTCACAAGCATACTCCGGTATGTAATCGACGAGATCCCGGAACTTGTACTCAAGTTCCTTCACTGTCATGTTACCCCCTTGGGTTAGGAGGGTGTATTCCCTCACCTTCTTGTTCACTTCAAAATCCGAATAATATTGGGCAAAGAACTCCCGTTGGAAATCCTCCCAAACGACGGTCTCACCGTACTTGCTCTTGGTTCCATCCCACCACTTGGATGCCATCCCCTCGAGCAATCTTACCGCAATTCTCAGTTTGAGATTCGGCGCGATTTGCATGTCAAGGGCTGCTTCATTTAGCCTCTTGATCCATTGTGCTGCAACTGAAATGTCCCCTGCTCCATCAAAGGGTTTGCACCCCAAATCCCTTGCTTCTTTGATAAATTTGGAGATCCTTATGGTTGGACCTCCATCATTTTGGCCTCCATGTGGTTCCACATGGACTCTAGATGCACCATGACTTCCTCCTCTTGAAGCCATGCCCGAAGGTTGCCTCGCTCGGCGTCTTCGGCGTTGCCTCCTCTCTTCACGCTCCCTGTGGTATTGTTGGAGTAGTGCTTCGATCCGTGCTAAGGAGCCATTTTCCTCCTCATCACTTACATCGTCATCATCCCCTTCATAAGGGGTCTCAACTGGCTCTGTCTCCGGTTGGTAAGTCGAGTCCTCATAGGACCAGTAGGTCTCACTTTCCGTGTCAACATGACCGTCACTCACGGTCTGTGATCGGCCTCCACGGCCAGCTCCTCTAGATGCCCTAGAGGTCCTTCGACTGCCCTGTCCAGTCTCCACTGGTACACGGCCCGTCGGGTTTCTCCTAGTAATCCTGCCACCACGGTCCATTTCTGAAAGAAATTTGGAAAGAGTCGTTAGACTCGTATCAAATGTCAATTGACGGATAGGTACTTAAGACACATTTTGGCTCGAGTCACCGCCATACCAATTGCTAAGGGTACCATCTTAACAATTAGAGACCTTGCAACCCAAGTACCAAAAGCTCTCCAAGTACAAAACTTCTATGCTCATGGTTTTCAAAATCTTTTCAAAAGAGAATTTTGAGACTTCATTATGAAGTTTATGGACTAAGGCTCTGATACCAACTTAATTGTCACGCCCCGGACCTCCCCGGACACGTCAACAACCCGCCGTACAATACGAATAGTCAACCGCAGTCCAACACATTCATATTATACAAGGCGTCATGAATATCATTCACACATAAGTCATCCATAAACATACATAATAAACAATTGAATACGCAGCGGAAAACATTGTTTAAAACAAAAGGGCCACACAGGGCAAACATGAGCACGCAGGCTCTAAAGTAAAATATCCATGAGCAAGTTTAATATTATTTAAAAACAGAATGGAGGAAGCACGAACCAAGTCTTCTCTCCAAGGAATCACTCGATCAACGAGCACAGGAAGCAAGCTCTAGCCTCAACCTGAAATGGTGGTGGGACGCCCCCGAAGGGGTCAGTACTCTATACGGCTATAAAGTACTGGTGTGGCAGGCATCTAATAGATATACAACAAGTATTTCAAACACAAGACCCTCAAGTAGGGTGATAGTACATTATGATTGTAACCCTAAGTTACCCCGTTTAAAAATATACTTACTTTATATAAAAGTCAAGTAGTCGGCCCGTGGGCCCGTTTTCATTTGGAAATCACCATTCCCAACCCCGTGGCTATAAGCCACGACAACTCCTAGAGTCCAACCCTAGTACATGACATTGTATTCTAGAGCTCGGCTCTACCACATCACCATACAATTCATATACCTCGGGTCAATTTCCTTACCTTGCGTTCTAGAGCTCGGCTCTACCACATCACCACGCAAGTCCTAGAGCTCGGCTCTAGCTATACAATACATAGACTCCAAGTCTACCCTTACATGCATTCTAGAGCTCGGCTCTATCACATCACCATGCATTAAGGTCCAATTCTCAAGCAACCCTATGCCTAGAATTGACATATCATTAAACTACCATGGGTCATCCTTAAAGACTTCCCATAACTTAACCTTAGTTCCATACTAAGTTATTATATACACTTGAACTATATTCAAGCACCTTTCATACAATCCAATCCCTAGGATCAATTTAATCAATAAATCCCAATAATCATTAACTAGTATTTCAATACTATTAAGATTATTGTTATCAAACCATTATCCTTGTTATTTGTAATTCTCTACATATTTATACTTATGTAGCAGCAACTTAAACATTCATTCTCAATACACAAATATTCATTTATGTATCCACATAATTCATACATGAGAAAAATGCCCATTTTCACAAATAGTTCATTTATACTCATTTAATCTCATATTATTCATACCTTCTCAAATCATTTCAAATTTCATTCTTTGGCAACTATATCAATATTTCATCAATATATAATCATCATAATCCATGAAAAATCATGATTTAAGCATTTAGGTAATCTCATGCTTAACCTACAAGTTGTAAACAATTAGATGTCAATCCTCACCTCAATTGAGCTTTAAACTTTCCCTTCTTGGTCCAATGGTCAAAGCTTTGGTCAAGGTGGATTTGGAACTGATTCCTTGCTCAAATATGAGTGTTAAACAGCCTCCTCAAGGTGCTAGTTCAACCCTTAATCGTTGATACGAAAACAGCCCCTAGAACGGGTGTTTCCCGGTCAACTCGTTTCCTAGTTTTTCCAAGATTTGCTCTAGGTTAGTATCTAACCTTTACATCAATAAAATAACTTTATAAGGACATATTATACACTTGTATTAGTGTATGATAGTCCCACCAATCGTTCATATCATTTGGAAAATGAAAGGTAAAGTTTTGGGGTTAAAACTCACTTTTAGAAGATTAAATCCTCTCCTGCGAGGTTGTGTTTTGCTCGGACGATTTGGAAGCCTTCCACAACTCCGATTCCTGCAAACCAGACCTTCACGGATTCCTCGTCTTGAGAGCTTTCTGTGGGTATCTCACACGCCTTAATTGGATTTGTAAAACTCGAGATATCAACCAAACAGTCTCAGCACTCTCACAGCTCGAGTTCACAGACCACCACTCACTCCAGCTCGATTTTTGTAAGATAAGCTTTCTCTCCTCGAACAAAGACCACTCAATTGAGATACTAGACTTCAAAGGCTATCCAAGGACACCTTATACACCTCATTTGGACGAGTACAACTCTCAAAATGAAGGGAGACAAAACAGCACACCTGTTTGTGCGAAAACAGTGGTGGTGGCCCCAAAATTTGATTCCTATCAAGTCTTGTGCAGCTCCTCTCCATGGTGGTCGGCCAAGGTAAGTTTCCTAACCCATTTTTATTTGTCTTGCAGGTACTAATGTCATGTGGAGTGGTTCCCAATTGATCCCAATCATTTTGGGATTCAAATTATCTACCAATACTTCCAAAAATGAGGAAAATGGGTCCTATTGTTTTATCTTTGTCAAAAGATGTCTTTTTGTACTCATCCTAATTTATTTAGAACAAGTCAACTTCCTAAATCACATTATTGATCTCCAATATGTGTAGGCTCATCCCAATAATTTACTTGATGGATATTACAAAAGAATACGGGTTTGAACAATACAATATTCAATCATGTACTTCGTAAAATATTAATCGTTTCTTCCATTGTTTTGAAATCGGAAATTCAATACATAAATGTTAAATTTTTAAATCGAATTTTCAAGGACGTTCGGGTGCGGTGTCACAAGTTCACCCCCCCTTTAACAGGAATTTCATCCCCGAAATTCACAGCTCTACTCGAATAGGAAAGCATACTGCTTCCTCATCAAAGCCTCCGTTTCCCATGTCTCTTCCTCGACTCGATCGCTCTTCCACAGGACTTTAACCATTGGGACTTCTTTGCTCCTCAGCTTCTTCACCTTTCTATCGGTGACTTTGATAGGTTGAACAGCGTAGTTCAAATCCTCACGTACCTCTACAGGTGGCTTCTCCAATACGTGAGAGGGATCATGCACATACTTCTTAAGCATGGATACATGAAACACATTATGTATCTTCTCTAACTCAGGAGTCAACTGTAGGCGATATGCAACGGTCCCAATCCTCTCTATAATTCTGAATGGACCTATATATCGTGGGTTAAGTTTTCCTCGGGTTTGGAACCGAATGATCCCTTTCCAAGGAGAAACTTTCAAGAATACCTCGTCATCAACCTTAAACTCTAAGGTTCTTCGACGTTTATCTGCATAACTCTTTTGTCTATCCTGAGCCGCTTTGAGTCTCTCTCGAATCAACTTCACCTTTGATTTGGTGACCTCAACCAACTCAGTACCCTCGAGTTTGGCCATGCCAACCTCATCCCAGCATAACGGTGTACGACATCTCCTCCCATACAATGCCTCGTATGGAGGCATGCCGATGCTTGCCTGATAACTGTTGTTATAGGCAAACTCCACAAGTGCTAAGTGGTTGTCCCAACTTCCTTGGAACTCTAATGCACAAGCCCTCAGCATGTCTTCTAAGATCTGTATGACTCTTTCAGACTGCCCGTCCGTCTGTGGGTGGAAAGCAGTACTGAACTTCAACCTCGTTCCCATAGACTCCTGAAATTTCGGCCAAAAACGTGATGTGAATCGTGGGTCTCTATCGGATACAATGGTCACTGGAACCCCATGTAGCCTCACGATCTCATCCGTGTACAATTTGGCTAACCTCTCGAGTGGGTAAGTAGTGTTGATAGGTAAGAAGTGTGCACTCTTTGTGAGCCTATCTACAACAACCCAAACTGCATCATAGTTCCTGATCGTCCGTGGCAACCCTACCACAAAATCCATAGTCACGTGTTCCCACTTCCATTCAGGAATGGAAAGTGGTTGCAATAAGCCCGCTGGATGCTGATGTTCTGCCTTAACTTGTTGACAAGTAAGGCATCGACTGATATATTCGGCTATTTCTCTCTTCATACCTGACCACCAGTAACTCTCCTTCAGGTCACGGTACATCTTCGTGCCCCCCGGGTGCATGGCATAAGCCGATGAATGAGCTTCCTCTAAGATGGACTTTCGGAGCTCGTCATCTGCCGGTACACACACTCGGTCACGAAATAATAAGAGACCGTCATCTCTTTCTCTGAAGTCCTCCACCGGTCCCGCTTGCATGCGTTCCCGGATCTTCATAATTTCTTCGTCGGTTTCCTGACCCTTCTTGATCTCATCAAGTAAAGTAGGTCTCACCTCAAATCGTGCCAATAAGGCACCATCGCTGGATACCTCCAGTTGGGCTCTTAATGCCCTCAAATTAGCTAGCAATGGCCCAGACGAGCTTTTCCGGCTCAAAGCATCTGCCACCACGTTAGCCTTGCCTGGGTGATACTCTATCACCAGATGGTAGTCTTTTATCAATTCCATCCACCGTCTCTGTCTCATGTTTAGCTCTTTCTGAGTAAACACGTATTTCAAGCTCTTGTGATCAGTGTATATGTGACATGTCTCCCCGTAGAGATAATGTCTCCATATCTTCAGTGCAAACACCACTGCCCCCAGCTCCAAATCATGAGTAGGATAATTCACCTCATGCTTCTTCAACTGTCGTGAAGCATAGGCGATTACCCTCCCATTCTGCATCAGTACACACCCAAGCCCTTGGATGCTCGCATCACTATAGACATCGTACCCCACACCCTGTTTGGGTAATGCAAGTACCGGTGCCTCGGTCAATCGTTTCTTTAGTTCCATGAACCCCTTCTCACATTTGTCATCCCATACAAACTTAGCTCCTTTACGAGTGAGCTTCGTCAATGGTGATGCCAAAACAGAGAACTTCTCCACGAACTTCCTGTAGTAGCCTGCCAATCCAAGGAAACTACGAATTTCCTTGACGTTCTTTGGCCTCTCCCATTCGGTAATGGCTTCTATCTTCTTGTTATCAACAGCAATTCCCGATCCAGAAACCACGTGCCCGAGGAAGCCAATCTCCTTTAGCCAAAATTCACATTTAGAAAATTTGGCATAGAGTTGCTTCTCCCGTAGTGTCTCAAGAACAAGTATCAAGTGCTCTTCATGCTCTTCTTCACTCCTTGAGTAAATCAAGATGTCATCTATGAACACAATCACGAATCGGTCCAAGTATTTATGAAATACTCGGTTCATCAAGTCCATGAATGCCGCCGGGGCGTTTGTTAACCCAAACGACATAACAAGGAATTCAAAATGCCCGTACCTTGTGCGGAAAGCACTCTTTGGTATGTCATCCTCCTTAATCTTCAATTGGCGGTACCCCGACCTCAAGTCAATCTTTGAAAACACGGTTGCTCCTCGTAGTTGATCAAATAAGTCATCAATCCTAGGCAAAGGATACCTATTCTTGATTGTGACCTTGTTCAGTTGACGATAGTCAATGCACATTCGGAGTGTCCCATCTTTCTTTTTCACAAAAAGAACTGGTGCTCCCCACGGGGAGTGGCTGGGTCTAATGAAACCATTATCCAAAAGCTCCTGCAATTGGGTTTTCAACTCGTTAAGTTCAGCGGGTGCCATACAATATGGCGGTATGGAGATTGGTTTGGTACCAGGCTCGACCTCGATCACAAATTCAATCTCCCTATCAGGTGGAAGCCCCGGTAAGTCTTTAGGGAAGACATCCGGATACTTACAAACCACCCTCACATCATCGATGTTCGTTTCTTCTTTGGTTTTGTCAACCACGTATGCTAGATATGCGTGGCATCCCTTTCTCATCATACTTCTCGCTCTCACAGCGGATATGATGCAGCTATTTGATCTCCCTCGATCGCCCTCGAAGCGTAGGGTCTCCCCATCATTGCCTTCGAGTTCAAGAACCTTCGTGTAGCAATCTACCCTAGCATGGTTCCTTTCTAGCCAATCCATCCCTAGGATTGCATCGAATTCAATCATGCTCAGCGGTACGAAGTCACATGTCAAGGTTTGACCATTAACCTCCACCCCACAAGATGGATAGTAACAAGTTCTTTCCACGTCATCCCCTAGTGGTGTTGACACCACTAAGGTTTGCATCAATGGTGCGGATTGCACTCCCAACCTCTTGGCGAACGCTTCATTCACAAATGAACGTTGCGCCCCGGTATCGATAAGGATTCGCGCATCCTTCCCATTAATCTTTAGTGTTCCTACATTTATAAGTCATGTAAGATACCTTTCCTACCATTCTTACACATTTAGAGAGGTTTATTATGTTCACACATGTGTTTTGGATCAAGAAAAGGTCTTAATGTCGCAAAACGGTGCGAAAAAATCGGGTTTCGGCATTCTGGGTGCCAGGCACGGCGTGCCTGGGGTAGGCACGGTCGTGCCTGGCTTGGGAAAAAGCCCTGGGCGCTACTGCCTCCCAGGCACGGTGCCACGCACGGCGTGCCTGCGACCGTGCCTGGCCGAATTTCCTCGAGGAGGCCACTGCCTCCCAGGCACGGTGCCACGCACGGCGTGCCTGCAGCCGTGCCTGGCCGGAACTCCTCAGCGAGGCCACTGCCTCCCAGGCACGGTGCCACGCACGGCGTGCCTGCGGGCGTGCCTGGCCGGCAGTGGCTGTTTCCAGCCTGATTTGGCCTAACTCACCCGGTTTTGGCCCCGGGGTGGCCCGCACTCAATCCCAACGACGTACATGATCTAAGTAAGCCTAAAAGTGCCCAAAATAAGTGTATTACCAGCGACGGAGTCGGAATTAGCCCGAGCATCAGCCTCGGTCATTGCGTAGACTCTAGCTTGCGTCCTTCCTTGATTCACGGACGGCGCGTTACTCGCGCTTGCTCCCCCTTGCCCCCTGGTTACTTGGGAACCCCCAGCTTGGTTTCTACTTCCCGCAGCCCCGTTACTTGGTCCTGATGTCCTTGCCCAACCCAACTGGGGGCAATGCGCCTTCAAGTGTCCGGCATCCCCACATTGGAAACATCTAGGGGGGTCGCGACACTTACCGGAGTGATTCTTCTTGCAATTGTTGCAACGAGTTATCACCGAGGTTTGTGTTCTCGAGCCTTGCCCACTCGGGCCTTGGTTCCCCCTAGACGGTGGCGGCGGTGTCTGGAAAGATCCTCCTCCATGGTTCCCCTTTTTGTTGGAACCTTGGGAGCCATGACTCTCCCACTTTCTCTTTTTCGCCTCCTCGGCGTCTCTCTTCTTCCTCTCCTCCCACTGTTTCTCCCCCTTCAACGCTTG